AGACACAGAGAGACGGAGAGACGCACAGAGAGATGGAGAGACCGAGAGACGCACAGAGAGACGGACACAGAGAGACGCACTGAGAGACGCACAGAGAGACTGAGAGACAGAGAGACACAGCGATGGAGAGACGCACAGAGAGACTGAGAGACGCAGAGACGCACAGAGAGACAGACAGAGAGAGACGCACACAGAGACACACAGAGAGACGCACAGACAGATGGAGAGACACACAGAGAGACGGAGAGACGCACCTCGGGCACGTAGTTGTCTCTGCGCTCTCGCTCCTCCTCCTGCAGCTTGATGGAGATTCCTCTGACTGGACCTCTCTGGATGCGCTTCATCAGGTGTGTGACGTACCTGCAGAGAAACACTCGTCATTCACACTCCGCTTTACACTAGCTGTGCTTTCACTGAAACACATGTGTGTCCCTGCAGCACAAAAGCAGTCATAAGCAGCACAGGTATATTTGTAGCAATAGCCAACAATACATTGTATGGGTCAAAATTATCCATTTTTTTTTATGCCAAAAATCATTAGGATATTAAGTAAAGATCATGTTCCATGAAGATATTTTGTAAATTTCCTACCGTAAATATATCAAAACTTAATTTTTGATTAGTAATATGCATTGCTAAGAACTTCATTTGGACAACTTTAAAGATGATTTTCTCAATATTTAGATGTTTTTGCACCCTCAGATTCCAGATTTTCAAATAGTTGTATCTCAGCCAAATATTGTCCTATCCTAACAAACCATACATCAATGGAAAGATTATTTATTCAGCGTTCAGATGAAGTATAAATCTCAATGTCAAAAAATTGACCCTTATGACTGGTTTTATGGTCCAGGGTCACACATCACTGACGGACACAGCGAGGGGTCATTAGCCAGTGCTCCGTTAACAATATCCGTTTCTCTGCTTTAATCAAGCTTCGTTATGATGAAATAGGGCTGCACGATTATTCCCTTGAAATTGTAATTGCGATTATTAATTATGATTATCACAATTTACACTGAATGATGTGTGGATATTTGTGGCGGTCAATGTGGATATTGTGGATGAGTTCTTCTGTGTCATCACGTTCTATTAGTTCTACAGCTTCAGTTTCGGAGCTTTCACGCTTAGTAACACATACAGCTGTTCCCTCACCACAGTGCAACAGTGAAAAGGGCCCCGTTTCAAACAGTGTTGCGTTCCGAACGTTGTTTAAGCGACATACACAGGTATTGCGGTATTTTAAAAATTCATATCATAACAAAAATAAACACCGGTATTCGGTATGAACCGGTATACCGCGCAGCACTAGTTTATACCATTGTTTGATGCAACTGCGTGCCGTATTTTTATATGAAAGTAAACAAGCTGAAAACTCTAACTGAAAAACCTTTAGTGCTTTTCTATAGTACTAAGCCTCAAATGTCAACTATACATCGGATTGGGTTCTTCTTTAAATTATAAAAAAGTAAAAATATGAATGGTATTATAATGTTATACTAAAATTAAAATAATGGGAAAAACCCTTAAGATAACATGTAGAAAGAAAAAAACGCATCTTAAGCACGCAGAACACCACAAGTGGACTTTGAACGATTAATTGCCGCTTTGAATGATTACGCAATTGTGGCATCCGTAATTGTAATCGCAATTAGAAATTCAATTAATTGTGCAGCCCTATGATGAACACAGATTTATTGATAAAAAATATTTGTAGCATGTCTCCATGATTGCAATAAGCTTTGCTATTTTAAATAAGAAACAAAGCCTCAATTGTCAATTTAATCACTAAATACAATCAATTAACATTGTTTTGTTGCTCTTTAATGTGGCGTGAGATATTCATAACGTCACATTTACCTCCGGAAGGACATTCTGTGTCCATAAACTCATTAGTCAAGTAGAAAAACAACTAGACGAGCATTCTGCTAAAATATGCACTCTATTACATTCACTGCATCTTTACGTAACCCGTCCTTCAATATTTAATGCCTGAATAAATCCGTCTAAAGTTAGTTATTACAGCCACTGTTTACATGTTTATGCTTCAACAAGACACTGGAGCAGAAACAGAGTTCATATGAAAACTGCCGTGTGTGCAGTTTAACCGTTTACATGCAGCTGAGCTTTTATTTGCGTATTATTCAATTAGATGAATCAGATCGTTTTTCAGTTTCATCTAAACACAGACATTCAGCTGGGTTTCAGTAAAAGCGTGTGAAAGATTGAGGGTTTGTGAGGAACAGGATCCAGCAAACACTTCCTCTTCCTGTTTTATCAACGACCTGCAGACGGTGGCTCCACAGGTTCATCAGACACAGGACTGACGATTTAATTAGATGTGATATAAGCCTGACTGACTCGCTGAGATCAGAGGCCAAAGACAGTCACTGCTCGTTAACACTAACGACGATGACTGATGAACTTTAGAGAGCTGATCTGAGAGCTGTACTGGGTTTATGAAGGAGCACGGAAGACTTTAAGAACAAGTAAAGAAAACTTCAACAGAATGCAATACGTCAGTATGGTCTCTAAATGTAACCGTCGTGTATTACTGACACTTCAGACTTCCAGCAGATCGCCATCGCGTCTCACTTCAGTTTACAGAAGCTTGAATACCTCTGCTCACAAACACTAGACACTTCTGATCACACTGCGTCTCTGAAGAGCCTTACATCTAGATGCATTTACTGGAGAACAAACACGAACTCATGCATGTTCCACGAGAAACTGATCAAAATGAAGCGAGTTTATGATTAAAACAAGAACAAATATCTGCCGGTGTGCTCTGAAAAATCAACTCCATTCAAAGGAAACAAGTTTTCATCCCTCACTGACAGATATTTGCTGTATCTGATGTGTCCGAGCGCATCTAAGAGACGGAGCCCCTCCGCGAGACTGAAACGCTTCAGACGGACTCCAGCTCATCTCTATGGAGCGCTGCCGTGTCCCAGCATGCAGTGCGGCGCGGCGGCTCACCCGGCGATCTTGTTGCGCAGCTTCTTGCTGGGGATGATGGCGATCTCCTCGCACACGCGCTTGTTGGTGTGGAAGTCGTTGCCCAGCCGGGTGTAGTACTTCTCGATGATGACCCGAGCGGCCTTCTTCACCGTCTTGGTCCTGACGCGGCCCTGCGGACAAACACAGCCCATAAACACACATGTAACAGCTCAGAACCGCCAGTCATACACACATAACAGCAGCAGAGCGAGAGTAAGCCCCTCTCACACCAATAACAACTTCTAACAATCTTTCTCAATATTGCAGAACTACAACGATAAAGTCGCACGATCTTGTCCAGCTGATGAACGATAAACACTGACAGCCAATCAGAAGCCACCCTGCGGTCACGAGCTGGACAATTTAAAGCGACAGGATAACCAGACGCTAATATCGTTATCTTTAGCTTTCGCGCTTGTGTGAACGGGGCTTTAATGCTAGTGCCTGCTAGCTGCGGTGCATTATGGGCCGAGCAGAAGCGCTCTACAGACCTGAGCCGGTCAGATCCTCAGTATCTGATCAGGTGTATCGATTAACACGCGTTACTGTGAAGCACACTCGGTGTGAGAGTATTACTGTGAGCGGAGCGGCTCGCTCTTTCATCGCGTTTGAATCTGTCGCGTCATACTCACACACAAGCGCGCCAAACAAACCCCGCGTCACACTCCTCTGTCTGCGTTCATGAACCGAGCGGCGAAAGAGCAGGATTACAGCAGATTATCAGGAGTCAAACAATCGGATACCCACCATGATGATCCGGAGAGCGGAAGAGAAAGAAAAAGAGCCCGACCGGAAGCCGACAGAGCCGCGCGAGCGCCACGCACTGACCCCCAGCGGCGGAGGAGCGACACTGCAGCTGCTCTTCTTCAGATCACATACAGGTGCATCTCAATAAATTAGAATGTCGTGGAAAAGTTCAGCTCCACAGCTGCACTAATACCGCAGTAAACACAGGTCTGCTCCCAGAAGAATCATGTTGATAGCACACTCTGACCTTGCTATTTCAGAAGAAAGACTTCTGTATAGATATATTTCTGCAATGCAGTATAAAACTATAACTGTCATTAATCTGAGTTTTATGTGCATCTCTCAAATTTAGTTTAGGTACATTTCTCTGATTATACTGCCAAATCTAATATAGAAATATATTTTAAAAAAAGACTTATGTACAAAGATATCAAATTAGCCCTTTTATTTGCCATTATTACAGAAGTGAAAATAAGTTTTCCCTCGTGCAGATGTGAGACTTCATTGAAAACACGGAACACGATTCAGCAATAAATCAATCCAGCAAAGAAACGCTTTTCGTCAGTGGTGTCCGGTGTTTCGCACAAAAACAGATATTTGTGCAGATATAAATGCATTCTGAGTGAATAGCTTTCACATGAGAGTGATTTAATGCAAGCTAATGTCAGCATGAACCCTTCACAGAACTGAAGACACGCAGAAGAAGAGAGTGCAGACGAACAGCATTCATCAGCTTGTGTTCCAGCAGTCAGTGCACATCCAGCTATCTGAAACTGGGGCTTTCATCCGTCACACGCGGATGGAAACGTGTTTAATGGTAATGTAAGAATTAAGACGTCAATTCCAGTTTCTGGTCAGAATTAAACAAATAAAGCGCCTTTAATAAAGTGTGCTTGTCATGATGAAACACTGATTAATAAGCAAAAACAAATCCTTTGTGTTGAGCTCAATTCAGTTTGACAGCTGCTGGAGTTTATTTTAACAAACACCTAACGTTCATTTTATTTTATGCAAGTTATCAGTCTAACTCTGAGCTCCTGGATTGTTAGATTACTCTGCAGTCGTCCTCGAGATGAGCAGGCCTTCATCAGTCCGAGTGTTGCCTACAGACCACCACCAAACGCACGCTTTATCACTGATCCAGCACTACTCACTGCAGCAGCACATTCTGAACACTACAGTCCAGACAGGACTGGACCGCAGGTTTAATCCGACTGCTTTCACTCACTGTAGAGATCACACCAACACACACCTCTGAACAATCACTTTATTAAACACTGTACAAAACCAACCAGACATCCTATTAAAAGTATTTACAAAGATTTACACTAAATAGTCAAGCATGAATGAAACATGTGAACTGAATAAAGAGATTAATCCTCCTCCTCCTCGTCGATGATGGGTCTGGACCTGAAACACAGAGAGTACACGGCTCAGTCTCGCTCAAACCCTGCAGACAGGAAGAGGAAGTGCTCCGAGCACTCACTTCCTGGGCGCTTTAGCCACGCCGCTGCCGCCAGCCTCCTCCTCATCATCATCATCATCAGACGCGGGATGAAGGTTCTCCTCTGGTTTCCGGCTGGGGCCGCCGAAGAAGTCTCCGATGCCCTTCTGCCACGTGGGTGTGGGCCGCAGACACACGGGGTTCCCGCCCGCGTATTTACCCTTAGCTGAGCGAGACAAACATGCATTAATGCCATTACACTCCTGCTGCACACGCTTCACTACTCATCCCCTCATACAGCAGAACTGAATTGGTTTGCATTGACACAATGTGTATGGTATAAAGCGCTGTATAAACACCGCTGAGGTGAGCCAGTATTTAAGAAGCGTCCTCAAACAGAGCTTCACCAGCAGCAGAACACAGCACGACTCCTCTAAACTCCGGAAGTGACGCAAGACGCCAGAACGCGTCTCACTTGCGTGCGCGCACTCACCTGGCGTGCCCGACTGCGCGCCGCTGCTGTGCGCGTTCACGGAACCGGAAGCGCCGAGGGACTTCCGGGGCGCAGAGGCGGCAACAGCTGAAACAAACACACAAAATTATTTATTAACGTTCAATAAACCTCACAACACGAGGCGCGCCGTCAGAAACAAGGTTCCGCTTCCGGAGCGCTTCATCGTGACGCGACGCGGATGAATGTGAAAGTGGCGCCATTTCATTCAGTCCGAAATAAACTCCTTTAAAGCTAGTGAATGCCAGTGAGGTTTGTTTTTAATGTTCAAACAATAATGAGACGATTCCGCTGGAGATATACTCATTTAATGACTTATCTGTGTTATATTAGCAGTAGCATCAGTGTTTAACGCCAATGGTTGCTAGACAAACACAACTGCGGTAAATGTTTATGGATTAAATCGTTCATACAGGTATAAAAGCGTTTTCCCCTCAGAAAGCAGCATAGTGCTGTAACTGAATCAGGCACCGTGTGCTGGGGTCGGAGCAGTTTGGCGGGAGATGGTGACTGAAACACACACACTCATGTTCATCTGTATCCACACACACACACACACACACACACACACACACACACACACACACACACACACACAC